TATTGAGAGCACAAGGTAGGTGTAAAGAAACAACCACTCATGCAGTTAACCTCTGGTGCAAAAACGTATAATCGCACCGGCTCGCCTGGTGCGTTCCAGCCTGGGTTTCTTTCTGTTATTTTCCTCCTATTCCCTAAAACGAAATATAAGACTGGTTTAACAACAGCTACCGCTATCAAAATACGAGCACACGTTTCTTTTTCAAAATGCTTTCAAAGTTTTTCTCGTGTTAGCGTACTTTGTGGTAAACTTCGCCCATTCAGTAGGACATGCCTTAGAAATTTGGGTATTACGTTAGCAAAAAATGGGCATTTGGTAGAAGAACACTAAAACACTCAGCTGCAATAATTCTGTAAAGCAAACATTAATTTTAGATTGCCATAAAAGTTAGCTAGTGATGAGAGAAGCGTAGAGTTTCTGTAGATCACTCTGTGTTCTAACTGCACTAGCAAGTTTCAAATCCTGCAGTGATTGCATTGCAGATCAGTGAAAATGAATTTGCTGAACAGTTGGCGAGCATTATGCGCTATCGGGAAATTATTACGCTGTTGAATGATCCTGAAATCAAGCAGCTGTACAGTACAGGCACCAATGGAGCCATAGTATGTTGCATGAGTGATTTTTCGCAATACCTTTGGCACTGATGCATTCGATTTGTGGCTGTACTTCTGTACTGATCAATCACTATGCTTTTTCAGTCTGAGCAATCCTGGTGTATTACATACGAGATCTAGTCTGATGAAAAGTGTTTATCGATACCTCCCTAAACCCAGCCATTGAACATAAGTTGCTCTTTTAATCGAAATGGTGCTAAAAAGTGAGAGAGATGCCTAATGAAAGTAAGGAAAAAACTTGGCGTCATCTGCTTATGCCCTTATCGATGCGTGCCGGTCAGCCGTATAAATCGTAATTAAATACCGAAATTTCAAGATTTTTGTAGAAACTGGAACCAGATGAACTGCAAATTTTGGAGTCTTTGCATTCGCGGCTCACTCCAGCAATAACATCCACAACGAATATTGGTGTATGGAATGCGATGACACAAATTGCCGCTGGGAAAGCAATCGAACTTGTCAACGGCTCTGATAAGCCAGTTATTGGTACGAGCAAAGGTAACATTGTACACTCTGTGTTTATGTTGTGCTCTCCTGGTTGATAAGACGATGGGGCGTCGAGAAGACGGATGATACACTGCAAAGTCGTTTGTGAAACAGTGCATGTAGAATCTGTTCTGATATTTACAATCAACGCTTTATATGTTTCAAAAGATTATCACGCAGGGAGGAGTTGGAGCTTTTCAAATCTCCCGTATGAGCCACTCCCAATCCACCTTTTGATAATGTATGGAAATAAAAAATGGCGAGATTAAGGGAAAACTTTTGTTGGGCAAGATGCTGAACCACATAGGCAGAACGGATAGAATGCTGTTTAGCATCTGTTTACCGAAGAACAAGAAAAGTGCGCAGAAACGAAGGCGAAGATCACGAGATTACACAGTTTCAGTCACGAAAAGCACAAAAACCTTGTCAACTGCTCAGAATGAAACAAGAACAAAAGTCTAGAGACCTGAGGACTCGAATTTTTAGAAATGACAAAGATGACCATAAAATGAATTAAAGAAGGGATATTTCAGGATTTGGCCTACTCAGTTCGTTCCCCTATTGTCCTTTAAAGCGAAACGCCGATCATCACAGATCTTCTGTGCCTTGTTTCGGGCATTACTGGCAGATTCTGGGCAATGTCAGATTACTTCCCCGCCTAGTCAGAGGAATATACATTCCTAGCGAAAAACTGAGTCTAGTTGACTTTGCGAGTAATTATCAAGTGACATATCAATTGCTCTGTGGCGTTACTTGATAAATTACTTGAGTAATCAAACTTAGCAGCAGAAAAATCAGAGTGCTACAGTTTTAGGAAAGCCTTTCCAGTTCATGTGCAGCTCCACAAACGTGAAATCAATCCTCGTATAAGCCTATTTTTCGCGTGCACATACCTGGAAGGAAGCTGAAAGTGCGTTAATTGAAAAGCCATTTTAGGAACCAAACTAGGTAGTACGCAAAAATTTCACAAAGATATTCCCTGTTCTTGCGCATTTCAAAAGTCTTAGATCCTGCATTTGTGTGTGCCTACATGCGTTTGAACGCGTCAAAGATATTTTTAGTGAAAACGGATTTCGGAAACCAGTCAAGTCGGGAAACTGAATTTTACGAATGTTTTCTCTAATCATGCGCGAGCTAAAGATTTTTAATTCAATTTCGAGGGGTGTCCAAGTTCTGTGTATGCTCGGGTGGAGGTGCCAGTTAGGACATTCCTAATACTTTTTATGCGTTTTTGCTGCGCAGCACTATAAAAGCGCCATAGCGCTGCTACAGCCAGCAAAAACGCATATTTTCGAAAGGTCGTCTCTGTGTGTGTGTTTGGGAGCGAGCGCATTTTGTCACCCACTTTCATCTCAGCAACCAGGAAAGCCGGAATTTTGGGTATGTGTTCCTACCCTGTGTGCCACCCTGGCGCCTCGACCCCGTGTACGGACACCCCAAAAAGTATGCAGATTCCTTTGGCGGGAAACGATTTCGCGAACCAGGCAAAGTACAAAGCTGAAACTTTGCAGAGATATTCTCTGAGCAGGCACGAGCTAAAGATTTCAAATCCAGCTGTCGCGCACGCTTGTGAAGCACGTAGATCACGTTAAAGTTTGCAACTTGGTACTGTTCTAACTCGAAAACTTGCCAGAAAACAGTGGCTGAGATTTTGTCAGCATGTTTGTCTTCCAAATGGGAAATCGTACCCCTGAAATGAGTACTGAATTGCACTTGCGCCACCATTTAAGACACTTCAAAGATATTTGTAGCGAAGTGGATATTTCGCTTACCGAATAAGACACGAGGCTGAAACTTCGCTGGGGTATTCTAGTGCGATTTTAATTTTGCTTGGAATTGAAATTCCCTGCAGGTGGGCGCAAGAAACAATCAACTTTACTAAAAAATCAGAAACGAGTGCGTTTTGCAGCGAACGACCGCCCTCATTCAAAAGTGTAAATTGAACACTCAATTCCTATTTGCATACTTGGGTTTTTATGCGTTTTTACCTCTATGCAAACTGCAAAAACGCATATTGAGACGACCCTGTGTGTATGTATGTATGTATGTATGTATGTATGTATGTATGTATGTATGTATGTATG